GCCACAAATGGAACAAGCCTGTATGTAACATTACTTGGGTGGGTATGGTGGTAGTATTGATAAATCTATCATGACCGACAATTGGAGTGGAAAAACCGGACATTATTGTACTCATTAGTTACAGCAACGAAAATAGCACGGTTTTTTGTTTATAATGGGACAAAAGTCGGGAAATACATTTCAAAGACGTTAAATATTTCATAAATAAGTTTAAAGATTAAAGTAGTTAGTTAAATTAGTTTACGTCGCGATAAGTTTTCACAGTAATTGTTATCTAATAGGTTCCGTTTAATAAAATAATTTATTTGCGAGATGAGCACAAATAAGTACGGCACATATTTTAATGGTCATCAATAAATACAATTGGCAACCTTAGCTAACTAAAGGTTAGGTAAAACTAAAGCTTATTTAACTAAAGGTTAGGTAAACTAAAGTTTACCTAACTAAAGGTTAGGTACCAATTGAATTTTTAAGTGATCATTTACTATTTGTTTGAGGATTATTTAAAAAATTTCCTCAAATATTTTCTCCCGTTTCTTGATTGATTTAATACTGACGTTTTAATGTGTGTTTATCTTTAAATGCTCCTACACATAATTGCAAAGGACATTGTTCTGCGTCCATACATAGTTAGCCGAAGAACCAACAATCATGAAATATTATTTTCTAGGTTCGAAATCGCAAGTAAATGACTGTAAAAACAAAGATTATTGACGGACACTTCTGAGAACTTAAACTATTAGGAAAACTAAAAGTTTTTCGAGGTTATGTTTAATATTCAATGAAACATTGGTCAACCTACGAACTTAGTATGAACTCAGTATGAAGTGAATTAATATTACAACAAATTCATTTTATTCGGTACGATTTTAAAGAATAACTATTAGGAAAAACTTGGTTAGGTAGGTATCATGAATAAAATAAAACCTGTAGTTTTGATTCTTATTATTTATTGGCTATTTTTCACATAATTGTATCATATTGTATATAGTATTTATTTGTTTAACACATGTTTATTGTGTAAATATGCAGCGTGAATGTGTATCAGGTGCTCTTGAATAATTTGGCAGTATGATCCTCTCAGGATGTTGTGGCACAGGTTCACTAGCACTTGGTAATAAGGTCTCTGCTCTTTGGTAACATCGATGGCATATTAGATAGCCGAAATAGTTAAATTTAAGGAAAAACGATCGCAAATGAACACATACAACAGGTAATCCGAAACGTGAATGCACTTTCCGGTATATTATACTACTCTTTGGAATGCATGAATGCCACAGATTACTACGAATGCAAACTGCCACAACCACAGAGTATCGAGTTTATGCCGGCCCTTCACTTGACAACAGTTTGTCCTTGTCATGCTTTATAAGGAATGAAAAGGACAAACTGATGTCATGTTTTAAAATAGCAAATACGAATAGCCAAGTGAAGTGCCGGCATTAGGAAGAAAGAGTGTTTTGTTTGCAGCGCTGTCATAGATTATACACATAAAATGGTATTTATTGTCTCAGATTATTTATTAACTTTTAAATTTAGCTTACTTAACTGGAAGTGTCCGTCACAATCTAAATACTGATAATTATCGCAAAAAATATACTAAGAATTATGATAATGCCAAATTGGTGTTGGTTCTTAGGCCAATTTTACCATTGTCCTTTGCATCGCATCGCAGATGTCTGCGAGCTCGCACGAATGTAACGCAAGAACATACGCATTCAATCTGATTCGCATCGCGCATTCCTACGATATTACGTCACCTTGGTGACTCTATTTTAGTCCGCTCTGAGACTTCCCTTGATAAGAAACTCAAAAGCTATTCAAATGAATATTATGTTCAATCAAGAATAATCAAAAAATGATGTTCTTTTCTCAAAACATAGTATTTTCGAGTAAAATAGTTCCCATCGGCGTTCATAATCGTAATAAATGGATCTACCCAAAATAATATTTTTCTTCTATATCTAAATAACAATAACAGCAGTGCAACAATCTTTTTGCGATCCATCTCACTATTTCAAAAACACGTCCAATACAGCTGACTACCGTTGAAAGCATGGTCACCTTAACCAAAGCTTTGCCGCACGAAATCGTATCACAGCCTCACAGCAGCAATTCGCATCGCAAGTTCCTGTGCTGCGACGTCGCATCGCATCGCAGTTTTGTATGGGAGCCCTTACTAGCTGACCCGGCGAACTGCGTACCGCTCACAATAATTTGGAGGAAATGAAAGCTATCCGTTCTACAGGACCACAGTTTTTGCCATAGTTAGCAATTAATTGAAGAAATCTTCTAAAGATTGATCGTTCAAAAATGTAAATGTCATATTTACTGTCATTTTGAAAATCATTACCTACATAGCGCTACAAATAAGATTAAAAGAGGCAAGCCTTCAATTGACTGGCAGTAGTCGATCTTGGAATAACTGCCACTTTTCCGTAATTACTATTCATTGCACAAGATTTGATTCTTTACAAAATTATTGATGTATGCTGCTCGGCATTTATTTAATACTTACCCATTACCCATTGATTCGTTGATAAATAAGGTTGCTAAGACTACACGAAAGATGGGGTTGAGTTCGGTAAGAAGAAGGTTATTGACTTCATCATCTTTGTATCTAGAGTCTCCCACACTCAAGTCTTTTATGTGTTTTTCTTTCAATTGGGTACAACTTTTATCTCTGTTACTAATAAAGACAGCAAACCTAAAAATGTGCAGATAAAAAATACCTATTTTCATTTTAGTTACTAAATAAAGTTTGCTTGTCGTAGTAAAGTAGAACTTAAGCCTAAAATTTACAGAGCGGGTTTTCCCGTCCCGACCGCGGGCGGCCGCAGAGCGGTTTTATTTCAAAACTCACGAGTTTTGCTTTTGCGTTTTACGTACAATTTCACATTCTACGCGAGTTGCGGTCCCGCAGCTGCAAAGGGCACGGGGAAAATCACGGCGTGACTTCTTAGACCTATGAAATTGCCGTTTCTCATGAAAAAAAATTTAACGCCCTTTGTTCTTTATTTTTATTAATAACACTAATGACATATGCAATAAATGCATTTTTCCCAATGTAGTTGTAGCTTATTTATGCACTTTTTGAACGGGAGTCTGCTGAACGGGAGGCTACAAATTCTTCAAAGGCATTTTGAACTGCCTCTTGGTTATATCACCTGCCGCTATGAAGTTATCCAAAATGGAAATAGCAAAAGTCTGTAGGGACAAGGTCTGGTAAGTACGATGGATGAAGGAGAACTTCCAACCCCAGCTCTTGTTACTTGAAGACCTTCTGCTGTGCAGTATGAAATCGCGCGTTGTCGTGCAGGAGCAGCGGAACCGAACGATTGACCAAAGCTGGTTGGAGATGTGCGAGCTTCTCCATCATTGAGTTCAGTTCTTCACAGTACACATCTGTAGTAAGGCTCATCCTGTTTGGTAAGAAGCTGTGATGAATAACACCGACGCTAGACCACCAAACACTGACCACCACTTTTTCTGGGGTCAGTTTTCGTTTGGGGCATTGTATAAGTGCTAAACCAGGATGTAACGAACTTGCTGAGCGCTTGCGATTGTCGAACAGAATCGATTTTTCTTCGCAAGTAACAATGCGCTTCAATATTCTTTCGTTAGTGTGCCTGTTGAGCAATGTAAGGCTGGAATCGACGCCTACTTTACGCTGGCGATCATTGAATTCGTGGGGCACCCATTTGTCAAGCTTCTTTACCTTACCAATTTGACGGAAATGGACAAATATTGTTTATGATGCTAACATCAAAAACAGCTGCTGCTAATTCAGCGCTTGATTGAGAATCATCAGCTTCCACAATAGCAATGAATGCATCTATGACAAATAACGTACAAATACGCTGTAAACAAAACTTTAACCATTAAACAAATGTATTTGTTTCTTAGGTTTTCACGCACACCACTCATTAAATAAAATAAGTTTCAACGGTATAGATGCACTGATTTATTTATTTATTAACGTTTCAATTGTAAATAATGCATTATATTTGTTGTTTAAAAAAATCATTATTCAGACGACGGATCCTGTAAAGGATGCGAAATTTCAGTAAATAAATACAGATAGTGCATGCAATCCACGAAGACGCGCCAATCAGTGCATCTATACTGTTGAAACTTGTTTTATTCATTAAACAAATGATTAATTTTCAAAACAGAATTCTATATTTCAAAAATAAAAATAAATTGAACTTAGAATTCTTAGCTAAAAAAGAAAATAATGGTTTTGAAATAGCCAGACCGACAGAACGGCAATTTAATAGGTAAAGACCTATTATTATTTCCAAGTATTGAAATACAGTATTTTAGGAACAATGTTTTACTTACAAAACTAAGATGTCAAAATAATGAGTCATATGGTTATAGTGGTATTGTGGAAGAATGCATAAGTAAATAATTAGAGTTATAATTTGTTTACTTCAACTCGTTCATTTTAAAACCTGCGCAGACGAGAATGTTAGCTAGACGATGTTAGCAGACTTATTTGTCCGCCAAAGTAGATCGCATATCGCTTGAGGAATAAAAAGTAGCACGTACAAATAGTCCCCCGTACATCCGAAAAGCCGAGGACACCGAGAAAATGGACAGAACAAAAGCAGTCTCCTCTTTTTCTTAAACTTCATATTATTATATTAATTATAATAATATTAAGTACACAACGTAATCTGAGAATAATTACTTCATAGAGTGCGTTTTTCTAAATTTTCGCGGGACAAAAAAAATATCGCATATCGCGTGCGTTGAGTCAGTGACATGTCCTCGGCGGCCATTATCTTCATGATTCAGGGAATTTTGTCCTACGCGGACAAAATTTCTTTGTCTGCGCAGTCCATTACACGGTATATTCATTACTAACCCTAAAACGTATTAAACCGTTGCTCGTATTTATTTACAGATCTCTAGTTTATTTGCAAAGCTTTCGCTGACAGATAACAATTACGACTTAACAGTCCTCGCGATCTTCTTAAATTTTTAAGTAAAACGATCATTTCATCTTAGTTTATGTTAGACTGACATAAGGATTGGTTCTCTCTGTTCTAACAACATTAAGTTTGTGTTTTTAATATACATTTACATTTATCTATATAATAACCTTAAAGATGGCTTACTTTTATCAAGTTTTAAGCACTTTTATACGTAAGTGATTAGACATTAAATTATGATATTTTAAAGTGAAACTTTTATTATATACATACATCATCAAATTTTTTACGTTCATCTTTAAAATGTCGCATTACATTTTTTATTTTTGTCAAAAATATAAGACATAGACCACAAGCATCGGTGGTTCAGTGGTGACAGGGGTTCAATTCCCAGCTGTGGAAGGATTCTTTTTTATTAATCATTTTAAAAGTTTCACTTGCATCGTGATTTCATAAAACCAGTTTTTTTTTTAATTATTTATTTGTTGGTCTGTTATCTCTTACACATCCTCCTTGGTTCGTATCCCAAGATCCAAGAGCGTCGTCAAGGGGGGCAGGTGGGGGCAACTGCCTCTACTCCCCCCTAGATATTAATAATTTAGCCTAGTGTAAAGCAACCAAAGTCCTAGGTCCACTCATTTGACTTGCTTGCCGGATCAAACATCTCTGCTACACCCACGTCGAAACTAGTAGGATTTTTATTCCAATCCCAACCGAGTTCATACTATTACACCACCTATTTATGAATATGAACTTGCCATCGGCTGACGACGCCCTTGGCGGGTCTTCTTCCTGGTCATGCACTCTTGACAGAGTGGTCGTGGTCATGTCTCGGTCGATTCCTGTGCCACTGATGCAATCCCGATGCGGCGCCATGCAGCTCGATGTTTTGCAGAGCGAGAACAATCATTTACGCTAGAGTGCGTCGCCGATTTCATAAGGTCTGTCTACCTTGTCGGAGAGCGTCCGCGAGACCTTTTGCCCTCAACCTTGCCGGGTAGGAATCGTTTATTTAAGTAACGACACCTTATTAAATTTACATTCGATCGTAAGCCCGTTTTCGGGAACACAAAAGACATACTTGAATTGGGGCATCCGAAGAAATATTTACACTGGAATATGTGCCTGGAAAACGATGTCGGGTAAACAAAAGGAAATCTACCCGAATACGTACGGGCGTATTTGACTCCGTTCATTTACACTTGGTCGTTTTCAGGCTACCGACCAAGAGTAATCGCGTCATTAGTAATGGTTGTTCATTTAGTAATATACTAAACATAGGCGGTTAACCACTGTTTTATAAATGTTGTTTACTTTTAAAACTCGTTTTCTCCATAATTATGCCACTTGCAACAATGCAAAAACAATGTTTAGGTAAACAGCCACACATCAAGTTACCACAAACTTTCTAATTTTCTCAATAGTTTGTGTACCTTATGGGCAGCAAAATAAGTCTCAAAGTAAGATGGTGATACACTTTTTGGTAACTTGACTTGTGGTTGTCTGTAACAGTTTAACAGTCTATGTCAGCAATAGGTTATTTGAAAGAATAAAAATAAAGTACCAATGCCAATAGCATGTGTATTTAACATGAACATTGGGATTGATTTCACTATTCTGAGAAAAAGTAGTTGATAATACTACTAAAAATCAAGAAATAGAAAAGTATTTTTGATCAATTGCCACGTGACCGAAAAGCATAGGATTGACAGAGCCTATAAAGACTTCACCTGTTTTTAAACGTGCTGTAGAAGTGACATTACTTTGTGATGTTTCACGTTTTAATGTGAGCCGTGTGACGTCACCTGCCTGTAAGACCCATATAATATGCTAGAGAAATGTTTCCGCGGCATATTTTTACTACAGGATCAATATTAGTTAATAACGTGGGTCATTTTTTAAAAACTGTCAAATCCTTAATCGGTTTTCATAATAACTTCAATTCAAATTAAATTGTTTGTACTTAATTGATTATCATAACGCTACTCAAGTTCTAGACTAGACTGTAGCCTAAGATTAATTGTCTTCCTGTTCGTTCTAGTAAGCTACGTTGGCTTGGTCTTGGGTATCATGTTCACATGGCCCTCCTCGACCCTCATGATCTTCAGTTCTGCCAACACCACGCTGAACAGAATCATGACCGAGGGTGAATTGGCACTGTTGGGAAGTTTGTCTTCAGTTGGTGCCTTAGTCAGCATTCCGTTGATTGGTTTTTTACTGGACAGAGTGGGACGAAAGCCTTGTGCCATCGGATCAGCTTTGACCCCAGTGGTGAGTATATGTAAAAATATTGTTACGTGTCGGGATGGGTTACGAAATTATTCACCATGCAGTTAACAGACAATGTTAATCACAATACACTCACTAAAAACTGTACTTCATCATACAAGTACACTTTTCTTGCTCTTTGATCGTCTTAGTCATCGTTCCCAAATCGCGGTTGAAACTCAACTGTCTACTGCCAATCGACGCATTCCATAAAAGTCCCGTTAAATTGAGTGTTAACTAGCACCCGCGAGTGCGTAGTACCTACTTATACGCAGGTAACGCGCGTAAGTTGTAAACAAGTGCAAATGTCGTCGCACTTCTCCCTTACGCCGCACTGTTAAAGCTCAAATTAGAATGAGCTGCACCACTCGACCTTTATTGCAAGCATTTACGTGGCGATTGTTTACCGCGGTGTTTTATTAAAATCTGTCTCTAGTAGTTTCACGGTTTTAGTTCGAGAGCGTTTGAGACAATATATTCCTTTTTTTATACGAGGCGCAGCAAATTACCCCACTCCACCTGATGTTAAGTATAGGTTGAGTCCAGTCGCGAAGATAGATGATGCGGCAGAAAGTGTACCGGTAATGCCATTCTCACCTTGCCAGCCTGAGGCCAAACCCCGCGGAGCCCTGGAAGCCTACTCATCGACAGAAACACAACACCACCCACAGGTAGTGGTTGTTTTGATTTTTATGGGTTTCTTTCATTCCCAGGGTGTATACGAGCATTAGATTTAATATTTGCTAGTAAATGTCATAATTACTTAAATAATAAAAAAGTACTTATCTATATGGGGTTTTCCGTGTACTTAAAAATAGCGGGCATTCAAACGTAATAGTTATCTTTATAGGAACTTTACGCATAATTACACTATGTAGACACAAAGATACAGAAAAAATATCTATTCGCAAACAGTTCCTAGGTAGGTGGTATGGCATGCTATAAAACTATGTTTTTCAATGGTTTTTCAACGGTGACTTTATATAGACAAATGAAATTTATTATATTTATATTAAAGCGTTAAATTGCTTGATTTTTTAAGTAATATTTTTTCAAGAAATATAACAACCCTAATCCGACTTTTGTTCGATAGTAGCTGGGCCAAGCTCTAGTATTTTTCTTTACATATTATACAGAAATAAGTAAATAAAATACAAACTGTTAATTAATATCGCATTCGATCTGCAGTTGTCGGGGTTAAATCATCATGCTTGTTGGATAGGTAATGGAAAGATGAGGGTATACCCATGGAGCAAATACAAAGAAAGGTATGTACGAGTACATACCCTAGCACGAATATATATTGAATTGGAATACACTCAACCACAAAGAAAACGGGTCACCCGCTGAGGTAAAACACCCAATCTTCGACAAGGCACCATTGTCCGACATTAAAAAACAAAACAAAGAAAAATAAGAATATATTCTGACTTCTGAACACATTTGAAGCGTAAACTATAGACGAGGATTGTCTAGCTGTCATTGCTGATAACGTTTCATATTTTCGGCAATTTTGTACAAAATGGCGTAATGATATATTTCGACCGCGGTAGATCTCCAACCAATTTCCAGTTTTATTAGTGAAATCGCTAAGGAGGTGAGTAAGATTTATTGCTGATTGATAACTTTTAATGGTTTTGCTTTATCTAAAACGTTAGTTATTTATTACATGAGGATAGAGATTCACAACCGCTTTACAATTTCACTAGAAGGGTAAGGTTATATTAAAATGCTAAAACACGCCTGTCGGTAATTGGAGATTTTTTTTTGCTTTTTCCAATCTTCGACAAATGTCGAAATTTTTTTTTATTTTATTTTGTGCACTTTATTATATTATTTAGCTAAGCTTGTTCAGCACTCTAAATATTTAGGTCTTTCATTTAAATATTCAAACTGCTTCCAATGATCGACAGCCGTGTCGATGATTGGGTATCCCATACGTTCCAATGACCGACAGACGATATGTCGATGATTGGATATTCTATATGTTAGTCTACATGTTCCAGTAACAGACATTTTTTGCAGGCATGGCCCCCTTAAAAAAATGACATGCCTCTTCAAATGGCCCAGGCCGTAGAAGCAGTCAGAAAAGGTGAGAAAACTGCAACTGCTGCAAAAAAAGTTTGGTGTACCCAAAATTACAATACACGATAAGATTTCCGGTAAGACTCCAGTTGAATGTTCCATGGGCCCTAAAACATATTTTTCAACAGTAGAGGAGGCTATTTTAGAAAAATGGATACTTGAAATGGCTGAAAAACACATTCCCGTTACCAGAGATGAGTTACTCGATAGCGTACAACGTTTCATAATTGACCAGAATAAAACAACCCCATTTACTACCAATAGACCGGGCAAGCCAGCAAAAATATATTCTATTGGAGATTATCCAATACGAAGGGGATTTTTTCCAAGGCGTAATTAAAAATTTTGATAAAAACAAATTTGAAATTAGCACCATGGCCTTTTCGGTGGGTAACACGTTCAAGTGGTCGGAAAAAGAAGATAAAATCCGGTACCAAAAGTCTGACATAGTTAAAGTAATTTCGAAACCAATGCTATGCAATAAAAGAGGTTTATTAAGTACTTAAATTACCTATGCATTACATGCCAACAAGCCTGCCTGCCATCATGCCCTTGTTTGTTTATTTAGCTAATTAAAATGATTAAAATACTGAATAAGACTTTTTTTTGGGAATGGTGTTTGAGGTCAGGATGATATTTGGATGATGATAAATAGAACATGTTGATTACTAGATCACGATTATTGGAACATGTCGATTACTGGGTGTCGATATATGGAATTTTGCTGTCGATAACTAGGCTAAAAAAAGCCTAAAACTATCTTGTTTTTTTTCCTAAGTTATTAGTATTACACTTCTGTTTGCTTTAAAATAATATAGAATTAACCCTAAAATGTTACCCAGTGCATTAAAAAATCATGTCTTATCATAAACAAACCAGATATTTGAAAAATGCTCGAATTTAGACGTTAAAGTGTCGATAATTGGGTGTTTTACCTTAGTACTTTGGAAATCTGATCCGATTTTCTAAAAAAATATAAAACTTACAACTATCAAAGTTATACCTACAGAAAGTGCATTTCATGATGAAAAAAATGAGTAATTTTTTATTCTAATTTTATATTGTCAACTTACTTACTGTGTAGGTAATCAAGCATGAATCACAATGCTAACGATTTCCTTATTTCTAAATAAACTTGTAGTTAACGTTCTTTTTAAAATAAAATAAAGCTTTTCTCCTTACTTTTCTCAGGCGTGTGATTTGTGTTGTGATATTACCGATTAACAATTGGAAAACGGCTCTTCTTTGGAAACTCTTAGAAAATAACTTAAAAAATATATAAATCTCAATAAGTTCCTGTTCATTTTAATCACTATAAAACTCACTATCTGTATATAACTTTGAAGGTTGAAAATGTTATTCATTTTGATAAAATCAAATCAGAGTTCCGAGCTAGCAAGAGACCCGATTTCTTTGCTGTCCAGTGCAGCTAATTTCGATCTCGATACGCGTCAAATTTCAAGAAGTTTTGTATGGAAGATTTTAAATTCTCGTTCCGTCCGTTATGGCTCTGTTTAAATTTCCATACAAAACTTCTTGAATTTTGACACGTATCATGATTGAATTTAAAATGTCGAATTCGATTTTGGTTCGTGCTAAGGGTACAGTACCCTCATCTTTACAGTACCCTCATCTCATACAATGAGCATGAGGATTTAAGCCCAGCAACTGCAGATTGAATGCGATATCAATCTCCCGTTTGTATTTTAGTTACGTATTAAGGTACCTATAATATTTAAAGAAAATTTTACCAGGTTACAGCTCGGGTACCTATCAGGCTACAATCGGGCTGAGTTACAATGTTTTTTAAAATAAATCTATTCTTTAAAAAATCTAGCAGTTTAGCGAAGCAATATCGAATTCAACTATTCGAGTTCGATATTGGTCCGTGTTAAAGATACTGATGTCGATTCTGCCATGATTCTCTAAAGCTAAACTTAAATTTGACAACAGTGCATCCCTGTCATTCTCTATACAGAATGAAAAGGAGAGACTGATGTTAAATTTAGTTTTAAGTTTAGAGAATCACGCCAGAATCGATACCACTGTGCACCAATTGGATTCTTTTCTAATAAAATTTCCTTTAGATTTATAAATCTAGCAGTTGATAAAAAATATAATAAAGGTAAAACTTTTTTCTGCAGACCGCCTGGGCAATGATATCCTGCAGTAATCAAGTAGAGGTTGTCCTCACAGCAGTATTTATATCGGGCCTCAGCAGTGGGATCATACTCATAAACACCGTTTACGTGGTGGAATTCTGTGAAGAGAACATAAGAGGTGATTATAATAAATTCTGACGATATGTATTTTATCAACTAATATGAAAGTATATCTTTACGCAGATGATCTTGTGAATGAGACCAATCAAGGATATGCAAGATGATCTAAATAAATTGAACTCTTGGTGTATAGAAAACAAGATGGTTTTAAATGTAGAGAAATCCGCTTTACTCGTAACCACTCCGATGTGCCTGGATCTTACACAATATCAAACCAACCTATTTGTGAAGATTTTCGTAATCTTGGTATAATCTTAGATAAAAAGTTGAGTTTAAGAGAAAATTATGATTATATATCTCAAATATCTGGGATTCGTAATAAGCAGCACTAATAGTTTAAAAAATTGGTCAACCATAATAAGACTGTATGAAAGCCTGGTTAGATCTACTCTCGAATACTGCAGTGCAGCTTGGAACTCTTATTATGATGTACATTCCAATAAAATAGAACGCGTGCAAAAGAGGGTCTTGTATCATTTGTCCTATAAATTTTACCTGGAAAAGAAGCTGCATGGATATACTGCACACCCAATCTGGCATAGATTGGGGGGATTGTCCCCAAATTTGGGGGGTTTTTTAAGCAATGGGGGGATAATTGGAGGGAAAATATTTTTGGGGGGATTAATGGGGGGAAGAAATTTGGAAATGGGGTATTTTTTATTCCATTTTTTATATAAAAATAATACCACTTCATAAACTTTCAATCTGTTACAAGTCGCGTTAAATTGTTAATCAGTACTCTCTCTTTCTCATTCGGTATAGAGCATGACAAGGATCTACAGTCTAGCTAGACTGCTGTCAAATTTAATTTCAATAGGCTTAGAGAATCATGCCTGAATCGGGCCCACTGAACTGTGTTCATTCAGTAAGCCCGATACGGATCCCTAAAACAAAACCCACTAAAAAAAGTACTCTTCAGTCCATTCCGTCTAGCTCAGTCGCTCGGTCAGTCGCTTCGCGCTCTTGCATTGCGCAGTCGGATAAAAAAGTCTGCCTTTATAATGATAGTCACACTACACTTAACTACTTAACTTGTTCCCAACCGTACATCATAAATGTGGTAACTAGGTAAAAAACTACTTCTACTGTAGAAACAAAGTAAAATTACGTAGCTTAAAAGTGTTATATTCAATGATTTTCTGGATCCAGGTTCCATGACTGGTTGCATTATCGCGTTCTACAACATCGGAATGTTGGTCTCTTACGTTCTCGGAGGAAACTTGGAGTATCAGCTGATGGTGCTCACCAACCTGTCGATGGCTATCGTGGGGGTGCTCGGGCTATTCTTCTTGAAGGAGTCCCCCCTGTTCTTGCTTACCAAGGGGAAGGAACAGGTGAACAATTTGCATTTCGTCTGTTTTTTTTGTGCTATTATTTGAAAGTTTACTAGCAACCTCCCGCGACTTCGTCCGTGTCGACTTTAATTTATCGGGGATCAAAAGTATCCTTTGTCTTAATCCAGATTACAAACTATATGCCTACCAAATTTCGTCTTTATCCGTTTAGTAGTTCTTGTATGATTGATTAGATAACAAATATAATACAAGCATTCAAACATACAAAATTTCACATTTAAAACATTTATATAGGTTTACTTTTTCGGAGCCGTCAGTCTGTATATTTTTTATAGTCTATGCAAATTATACCTTACTTCATACTCATACTAACTTAACATGATAACCGTGATGTGATCAAAGAGGTACCCTACAATATCCAAATAATCCCTTACCCGATGGTAACCCGGAAGCTTTACTTATCAACAGAAACATAAATATCACAAAAGATTGTGTATTTATCAGCGTTTTGCACGACCAACATGAGCTTAATTAAATTACCTACGAATTTCCAATGGAATGAGACTCGCACTTCGTTGGATTTTGGAGTGAAAACTTCTTTAGCGGCGTTGTACACTTTGTTTGTATGGGTAAAAAATGTTGAACTAGCGTCAGGACACGTAAACACACGAAAACAATAAAATTGGAAAGGACTTTCAATATATTGGACGAAAGAAAGTATTATTTTATTTTATCGTATTATAATATTAAGTCTCTAACTAGGACGTCCAGGTGGCAGTTTTATTGCGAAGAAAATGTGTTTTTTTTACAGTAGATGTCGCTAAGTGAGCTTAAATGTGATTCATGTAAGTTGATTTTTCTGAGAGAAACTTTTTTAATGTAAGTAAAAAAGTTTCTCTCAAAATAAAAAAAAAACAAAAATGCACAACGTTAATATTCAAGTTTTCACTTCTGCCGGCACTCCCGGAGTCCTGTCGTTTTTTTTCCATTTTTAACTGAACTTCGAAAAGGAGATTCTTATGTAAAATTCAGTTTTAAGTTTCGAGAATCATGCCAGAATCGACGCCATTATCTAATAAATTACTTAATTTATTGCAATGTGTCTGTTAACGATTTTGTAGGAAGCAGCAAAATCTTTGGGTTTCTACAGACGTCTGAAGCCAAACTCTAAAGAGGTCCAAAATGAACTGGAAGCCTTGAAAAGAGTAATCAGCACAGGATCAGAAGGTAAAAGATGCTTCAGTGAACAAGTACTGAATAAATTTAATTTTATGAAGTAAGTAATTACCTTTTGACGACCTCCGTAGCCGAGTGGTTTGTACGCCGGGTTTCATGGTGTCGCCGACTCGAGAGGTCCTGGGTTCAAATCCCGGTGGGGGCAGATGTTTGTGTGATGAATACGAGCATTTGTATTCCAGTCATGGATGTTTTATATGTATTTCCTATATTAATATACTTATATATGCAGTGGCGGCGCTAGGCGTCGGCGACTTCGGCCACCGCCGACGGCCTCGCGCCTGAGGGGGCCTCGCAAAAAAATTTTACAAGTTACCTATTTATTTTCGTTTCCCCGGGCCTGGCTTAAGTAGCCGACCCCGAACAATTCGGGGAAAAAGCTAAGCAGATAATAATGACTTTTATTAATTTCGAACACGTGCGTGATGGAAGCGAGTAGTACCTTACGGGTATTCAGAATCGTCTGTCTGGCAACACTATGAATCAACAATAAAACTCGTTTACTCATACGTTATTTTATAATTTGGCTCACTTAATTTAACGGTTTAGCGAAGTAAAATAGGCCTCGCGAACTTGATGTCGCCGACATCCACATGTGGTCTAGCGCCGCCACTGTATATATGTACAGTATATGTATTGTATCCGTTACTCTAGTATCCCATAACACAAGCCTTATAGTGCTTACTTTGGGGCGAGGCTAATTGGTGTGAGTGTTGGAAATATTTATTTATTTTATTTTAGAAGTTACGTTTTGTGGGTATCACTCTAGGCGTCAAGTAGCAAAGAGCGCAAACGAGGCCTATTCGAAAAACTATTCAGCGAACATACGGTATACATAAAGCACCACTAGTATCAGTAGGTATCTAAGATTATATCAATGAGCCTTGAAAGATAACCTGGTTGTACTTGCCCTGGTCAAGAGCTTCGACCGGTGGTACTCATAGGCGGCTTCACCTATGGTGTAGGGTGTGAGTTGCACACGGGCGTAACGGTGTTAGCGGGCGCCGCCGAGCCCCACTCGCTACCATACAATTTGAGTGACTAAAAGGCCCTAACTAGCGTAACAATTCCACTTAGGCGCTTCGCGGGCTAGTAGAGATAACATATCAAAAAAAAATCGATTTCTGAACTAACCCCAAGAACCCCTGTGCAACCCATTGGTATTCTGTAAAATTTTCACATCGGATCCGCGCGGATCCATATCGGATATCGCGTGAAAATTTTACAGAATAGCACTGCTTTTGTCACTCACCAGCCTCTACTCGTCTAATGGTTCGTACTCAGTTACCATATTGCTCGATAGTTTTACTAAGCGAGTAAAAATCAACGTGTGGACCGCAAACTCACAACTCGAAAGCTCATTCGTAGGACGCGATGCGACTCGCTTTAGAGTAAAACTGTCGAACAATACCATATGTGAGTACGGACCCTTACATGAATATAGTGCCATGGGGACACTATATTTAAACCCCCCCCCCCCCCTCCGGTTCGTGGCCTGTCTATTTTTGTCCGCAGCCCCGTCTGCCTTATTTTTTGTTTTGACTCAAATGGGAAATTGTGTTTCAGAATGCAGTCCAGAAGAAGAAAAATTGAATTCTGGCACGAAAAAAGAGAAGCTGTCTATGATACAGTTTATAAGTAAGTGCATATCTCACTTTTATTTTTAAAATTAATAAGCATGGTGTTTATGTATTAATTCCATAGGCAATCGTATACGGGCTAACGACCAAGTGTAATTGCGCCTGATCTACAGTTAGCACAAGTTCGGCCAATTCCGGGCTAAATATCTTCTTATCTTTTCAGGAAAGTCCCGTTGCACACAACGCGCTCTACTCCTCTGTCTCACTCTGATGACGGCTTCCATATTCCAAGGGCTGGCCATATTGCAAGTGTATGCCGAGCCTCTGTTCGCTGAAGCAGTGCCGAACATATCTGCCAATGTGTGTAGCATCATATTGGCGTCTGTGTCCGTGGTCTTTGGGTTGGTGGCGGCGTATTTGACAGATAGGGCCGGGCGAAGGGTAAGCTTCGATATTTTGGTATCTCCTCACACATTCCTCCAAAATTCGGTATTTTTTTATGTTAAAAGGATGGCAAACAAGCATATGGCCCGCCTGATAGTAAGCGACCACAGTAGCCTATGAACGCTTGCGCTACAAAAAATTTACTCGTGCCGATGCACAACCTGACCCAATCCCCTACCCGTTGGCGTCCTGGAACCTTATTCATGGACAGAAATAACACACACCAAAAGGTAGTGTTATTTTACTGATAGACGTTACTTCCCCAGACGGGCGCTCCAATTCGAGGATGTTACTAAGTGTAAATTAGGTACTGCTACATCTACATTTAATAATTAGTTTATGCATTAGTAATCCGGATCGAAGGACCAAAGAACTCTTCTCAATGAGTTGTGATGCCCACATTCATTTTATCTTTTTTTCTGCACGGGTGGAAAGTACGCGCGTAAATAGATTTTTTATATTTTTTTTGCCTTACGGTCAATTCCTTGATCACAAAATATTCACCTACATAGTCACAATAATTACGATGGACGGAAATAGTTCGGTACGTCAAAAATACGCAAAATACCGTGTGTGTACAATCACCAGCATGTCTGGTATAAGCCAAAGGAATAATTCTCCAAATATTTGAACCTGACATTAAAATATAAGTACCTACGCACTTTGAAACCAGTTCAAAGTATAGTCATACTAGCTGATCCAGCGAACTTCGTGCCGTTCTATTTAATATTATTACTAGCGGCCACCCGCGACTTCGTCCGTATTAACTTTGGAATTTTAAAAATCCCTCAAGAACCTAAAATTTTCTATGTCTCAATCCACCTGGATTGTTACCTAATAAAATATACGTGTGCCTAATTTCATCTAAATCATTTCAGCCGTTTTTGTGCGATTGAGTAACAAACATTCAAACTTTCACATTTTTAATCGACGAGACGACCTCCGTGGTCGAGTGGTTTGTACGCCGGGTTTCATAGTGTCGCCGACTCGAGAGGTCCCGGGTTCAAATCCCGGTAGGGGCAGATATTTGTGTGATGAATACGAGCATTTGTACTCCAGTCATGGATGTTTAAAAGTATATCTATAAAAATATACCTATTCTCAGACCTACTGAATATACTCACAAAATTTCATAAGAATCGGCCAATTTGTTTAGGAGGAGTTCTGTTGCAGCAATGTGAGACGAGAATTTTATATATTAGATTAAAATATGTAATTCCTTCTAGCCGCAAATCCTCACTGAGCCCGCGTGGTGGGTCACGGCCCAGTCTTCCTGTTCTATACATGGGGAAGGCTGTGCCCCAGCAGTGGGGACATAAATAGGCTGATAATGATTTGTTTTCCAGCCGCTAGTGATATACGGCTCGTTGGCGGCCGGGTTCGCATGCGTACTGCTAGGGTTCCAGATCCACATGCACTGGGCCCCACACTGGGTCACGGCGGTCGCCATATACTTCTTCGCAATAGCATACATACTGGGCCCGGGAACCGTACCGTTCATATTGGTGGGAGAAGTATTTCTGCCTGAGGTAAGTTAGTCACTCACATGCCCTAGCACGAATTTTGAGAGATCCGTATCGCCTCGTCAGTTTCAAAGAAAAGTCAGTAGCCATCATAGGATGTAAGAACAAACTTCTTCTTCTTCCTTCCTTATTAGATTTGACGATGACGATACGATTGCGGAGCTGTGGAAGTTCGTGCTTGGGCCTCAGATCTTGGAAAATTAATGTTACCTGATTTTTTGCTTATTATTTTGAGGGTTTTGCTTGTTCCTATACCGCCTTATTCCTAGACGCGGACTTCTCCAAAATAGAGTATTATCCTCTTTCACATGTAGGCGTACTTTATAATCTACGACACCAGTAAAGTAAGCTAAAATACTATATTTACAAATAGCAACAAAATTACGTTTTAAAGGACAAATATTGAAAAATAAACTCATTTTTTATACTTTATTTTTGTTTTACCAAAATGGTAAAGTACTTCAATCACCCTTGAAGAAAGTAGCATGGTTTAAACCAAACAAAAGTGACAGCAACATTTTTAAGCCAGATTTAACTTTAGCCAACGTTTTCTAATAAGACAAATAGCGCTTATCAACTTTATTGTACTTCAAGTAATAAAGAGATTTGTTTATCTTTCTATTTAATGACCAGATAACAGAAAAGAGGCGGGGAAGGCAATTTACTAATTACTTACATGTGTATTTTAGAAACTTGGCGTTCATGGCCAAAGAACGGGAAATGACCTACCACGAAGCCCAAAATAGATTGGTCAGTGCTAACGACTGCAGCGGCCTAACGTGGCTTCCGCGGCACGGAGGAGCTCGAGATAATAAAATATTGGACACTCATCCAATAACCGACCATTGCGAAAGTTACTAAATTCCGCGACATCATCGCGCGTACCACTGCCCATTCTAAAGGTAGACCGCTTAACTGAGTCCTCGCTTGCGGGGTAAAGGGTGAGGCGGAGGACGAGAACGGGGACCGTGGTGCGGGCAGCAGGCACATTCTTGTCAAAATTACAAGCGCCCGCCGCCAGCACCTCTCACGGCCCCCATTCTCGTCCTCCCCCACACCCTTTACCCCGGAAGCGAGGACTCAGTTAAGCGGTCTACTTTTAGAATGCCCAGTGTTTCGCGCGAAAAAAAGGGGGGTACCCTTAACAGACGAGGACTCAGTTAAGCGGTCTACCTATAGCTCCTCAGTTTGAATTCATCAGAGAACTATTTCAAACTAAACGGTGGAATTCGACAAACCTTCTCTGCCAGAGGTCGAGAAGGGACGGTGGTTTTGCGGAATCAGTTCAGAACTCCGCTTAATTTGTCAATTGAAGTCGTTTATTTTATAAAATATAGTATTGCTAGTCGATAAGTCTCCGCTACTAGGAAGCTACTCAACAGCTTTTTTGAAATTTGTCTAGGTCCCTATTTTTAATTACACTTGTATTAACTTTGATAAGGAAGATGCAATATTTTTATTTTTGTTTTCATTTTAAAGAATTCCATGTAGAATAAACCACAGATATATTAAAAAATTAAAACAATGTAATTTATCGGAAAAAATGCGGTTTTAAATTGACAGTTTAAATTTTCGCGGGTAAACGGACATATGGTTCCGATGACGTCACTCCTGTCTGCCACTGGTCGTACTTGTTCGTTGCTGGCATACTTTTGCATATTTTTTCGACTTTCGAGATATTTTTTTGTAAAAATTTAAAATGGACTAACCATCAACATCAGGTGATCATAACAATACCACTAATATTCTGAAAAAAAACCCTTTGTTGACTCATGTTTTGTGCCCAATATGTCCATCTACTTTAACAAAGTTTCCAAATAAATTGTTTTTGACTTTTGATTGAATTAATTTAATTGACCCAAAACTGAGAAAAAAGTGGTTTCAAGCCGCGAAGAGAAATGATAATTATTCTCCAAAGACCATTATTCGATGCTGTGAAGATCACTTTGACGTAAGTCGGCGAATATACTTGTTATATGCTTAATTAATCTGTATGTTCGTAAAATCGCGATAGTAAACTATCTAATACTTACAAAACCTGTATATAACTATATATTAATATTTTAAATTTTACGTCGAAAATTGGATAAAGTTTAAAATGTTTGGCACAATCTTCACATTGGCAGGAATAACTTAAATTTAATGTATAGAAGCCGTTGAATAAAATACAAAGTTTTTACAACTATGATTTATACATACCGTAGTTATTTAGTCCCTTTCATTTCTACACTTGAAAAGTCTGCACTTTGGACAAAAAAAGTAACAACCATGTCAACACTAACTCTTGGCAAAATCCTGGAGTCTGCTTTGATAAACCCAACTTGCATTTTTATTAAAAAACGCAATTAATATTCCCATAAAATAATATTCACTTTTACAACTATAACCTCTAATAAGTTGTCATATCAGGAGTGACGTCACTAAACGCTGATTGGTGTTTTAAAATACGTTTTTTTTCAAGTCATTTTTAATTCGTAATTATTGTTAAGAAACAACATTATGTAAAATAAAAACGTTGCAGTGGCCTTTCTTTTATATTTTTTTAACATTTTAATCATAAAATTTTCATAAATATTATATTTGCATCTTCCTTATTGTCAGCTTAACTGACGGACTGAATAAATCCATACACAATACAAATAGAGAAACGAATCGAATCTAAAAACTCATGACATTCTGTGTCTCTTATACGTACTGCCGGAATAACTGTGCAAGCAAGAGGGACAATGCCTTGAATCGTCCAATGGATGAAATAGGGAGATTGGGCCATGACCCACCACGCGGGCCCAGTGCTAACTGGTGGGTGCTAACGACTGCAGATGCAGCCGGAACCAACGGCTTAACGTGCCTTCCGAAGCACGGAGGAACTCGAGATTTTGATTTTTTGATTTTTTTGAAGATTTTTGGTCACCCATCCAATGACCGACCACTGTGAAAGTTGCTAAAATTCAACGATCGCAGCCGAACGCGCTAACTATCTGCGCCATGATTTTTTTCTTCATCTATCAGATTTTATTACATTCAGACTTACAAAAACTATTGGACAATTACGTATTTTTTCTATTTAACATTTTCAAAACATCTATATTAATTTGAAATGTCGCTGGTCAAATCTAGGTACAACTTTTACTTAGAAGTGACGTCACGAGCGCCCACTCCCAACCTTTGACACGCTTAATCATTGTAATTTTTTAGTTGATTGTTAAATGAAACAATAATTGTATGTTTTAGTTTTTTGATAATCTATGTAATGGATTAAATAGTATTTCGTTTAATTAACTACGTCCTCATCACTATTATACATATTTTGTTACAGGTGAAAAGTTTCGTCGCCATGCTGGTGATTGAATGGACTTTCCTGAGCTACTCAATCATATTATTTATATTCAATCCACTGGTTGCCCTGATAGGGTTAGGGCCAGTATTCTACATGTTCGCTGTCATATGTTTCTTAACTGTAGCCTTCAGTTACTACTGCCAACCGGAAACTAAAGGATTGACCATGGACAGGATACAAGACATGTTTACGCCCAGAAAGGGACGGCCAATAGTCTAGCAGATGTGTTTTTTATCTGATGGAAATTATTGTGTGCAAATAAAGCCAAAGTCTATAAAACTAAATTGTGTTAAATAAATTAATGTACACTTAATAGAGAATGACATATTTCGTGAATGATATGTTACTTATAAGATTATGTAGTTCGACTAAAATGTCGTGAAAAAGAAAATTTGGTTGATATATATATTATAAAACACCATTATTAATGTTGTCAAAAAATGCCCTAAAATAGTGTCCAAAAATTAATGGATTTACATAATTATATTGACACGACTCAGTTTGTATAAAAACTTTTTTAACAATAATAACGGACAAATTGAGAAAAAAAAATTGTAAAAAGTAATGTCCATATTAAGGCAGACTAAAAATAACTTTAGAATGTATATTACAGCTTGTTTTTTTTATTTCTATAATTTAAGTTTATTCTAAGTCTAATCTTGAACAACGAACGTGAAAACGACTTCGAAGATGCAATTTAAACAAAAATAAAAACCTTAAATTAGTCTTTATTTTAAAATAAATAACTCACAGTCTCATAGGAATGTAACTACATCAATCTACTTTATTGCAAAGGATTTGCCAGAACAATAGCCATGTTGGTAATATCAGAGACGTGACCACGTTGAAGAGCCAATTGCCGTAAATCTGGAAAGAAAATTGTACTTTAAGATTAATTGACTATTGGACGACCTCCGTGGCCGAGTGTTTTGTACGTCGAGTTTCATGGTGTCACCGACTCGAGAGGTCCCGGGTTCGAATCCCGGTGGGGGCAGATGTTTGTGTGATGAATACGAGCATTTGTACTCCAGTCATGGATGTTTAATATGTATTTCTATAAAAAATATACTTATATATGTACAGTATATGTATTCTATCCGTTACCCTAGCATCCCATAACACAAGCCTTACAGTGCTTACTTTGGGGCTAGGCTAATTGGTGTGTGTTGGAAAAAAAAATATTGATAAGGTAGAATTTTCATAAGTATGTTAATAAATACTAATAACCAACTATTTATTTATTTGGCGCACAAAAGAGAATGAATATATTCTAAAATATTATAGTTTATATAGTTATCTTTAGTTATTTGAGAATCATACAGGAACCTTACATTTTTCCGGGATAATAATAATTATGGGTCTCAATCCAGGTTATCCATACTCATATTGATTGAATAGGTTCCGGAAAAACTGGACAGATTTGAAAAAATCTTACACATTTTTAGAATCCTACATTAACCCTGACGAACATAGGTTATAGAATATTTTCTAAAAAGGTTAGTGCTACGTATGAAAAATTTTATAATGTAACCCGGGGTATGAAAAAATACCAAAAAAATAGTCCTATATCGCTTACGCTGTGCAAGTCATTGACAATAGAGCAAAGTGATGTCTAAAGTTTTATAGAGGACATAAATATCTCAAAAAAGTCCGCGATATTATGTGTCTAACTATTACAGTTAATCATCAGCCTATTATTGTCTCCTCTGCTGGGGCACAGGCCTTCCCTTTGGATGGAATAGGGAGATTTGGCTATGACCCACCACGAGGTCCCAGTGCGGATTGGCGGGTGCTAACGACTGCAGATGCAGCCGGGACCAACGGCTAACATGCCTTCCGAAGCACGGAGGTACTCGAGATAGAAGATTTTTGGTCACCTATCCAATGACCGACCACTGCGAAAGTTGCTTAACTTCAACGATCGCAGCCGAACGCGCTAACCACTCGCGCCATCGAGCTCCGCGAGTTACTACAGGTATGTCAAAATTAAAGGTACTCGGTTTCACCCACGTTAATTTGAGGAAAAAGGTAATAATGAGTAAAACTTAAAAGATGGGCATATGCCGTCGTGGACTTCTAAAGGGGAATAATTCCGCCATACATGATTTTTTTTGTAACTATAATCATTTACACAGCACACGCAACGGAATCTCCCAAACGGATTTTTTTTCCCCCCGATTTTGCAACATTTTACGTTGATACTCCGCTACTTCTGGTCGCAGCGTAATATTATATAGCCTTCCTCAATATGCACTATCTAACACAAAAATATTTTTTCAAATCGGACCTGAGATTAGTTCATGAGATTTACGCGTCTAATAAAAAAATGGTGCATTCAGTTTAACGGGTCCTAAAGTACGCAACAGAATTTTCATTCTCAGTTAAATAAATTTTCATGGAAGGTTTATAACTAAATTGTCACAAATGCTCTCGAAACAAAACCGCGAAAATACTAGAGACAGAATTTACCAGAACACCGCGGATCGCAATAAAGATCGAATGGTACGGCTCATTCTAATATGAGCATGCAGTGCGGCGTAAGGGAGAAAGTGCAACGACATCTGCACTTGTTAACAGCTAATGCGCGTTACTTACGTAGGTATACGAAGGTACTACGCACTCGCAGGTGCTAGTTAACTCGCAATTTAACGAGACTTTTCTAGAATACGTTGATTGACGTTTATAATCGCGATCGGTGCCGCGCTGGGACAGTTGTGTTTCAACAGCGATTTCGCAACAAATACAAAGGCGATCAAAATGCAATGAATAAGGCCCTATTACGAACAGACATGACTGAGATACAGGCTGCGGCCTAGTTCAGATACCAGTCTCTCCACAATCTCGTCATTAAGTCATTTATTAATTCATTAAGATTATATTATTATTAACTTACCATAGAATCTACGACAGCAAACATGGTAGCTTGCATAGCCGCATCCTTGCCCCTGGAAACCATCTCCAGAACATTTTCTTCCGGAAACAGAACGTGGCTATACGCTATCATGCACAACGTCACACAGCACAAAGGCTGCAGTAACAAGCATAGTATCCGGTTTAATGCCAGCACAAATGCACTTTTACTGCAAATAAATTATTTGATTGATTAAAAATACGACGTGATTACAACAAAATAAGGCACAATTTCGACGGACAGCGGCTGCCCTGATGTACTGAATGCACAGTCAGTAGGTTTGACTTTGACTAGGATCATTCAATTATTTTACTATTCGTTCGTTACGTTGCTTAAAATATGGTTGAACAAAGCTGGTTCATACGTCATACTCGTGAACACCCGCTTCCAATAGAAATGATTCTGCCAGGCTACCTAAATTATTTTATTAATTTAATATTATTTTCTTAATAGGCTTTTGGTTGCAGTGTAACTTAACACACGATATTCTTAATAACTTTTATTGGCAATGAATCAACAGAAACTTCAAGTTAAAGAAGACCAGGGCGCCTACCACTATCGGGATTGCTTTGGCTATTGCTATAGCTTATGTTTTAGTTTTGTTATTTCTGAGCGCTCTTTTTGCATTGGCAATAACAATATTAAATAAAATGAGCGTGAGATATTTGAAAATCTTCGGCGGTCAGCAATAACAAAATTAAATCATAAGCTATAACAATAGCCAACTTAATTTAGGTATTTTCATTTAAACGCACCTGCTTTTTCCACTGTTTGTTGTCACTCCAACCATCAAAGACAGGGGTGTATACAGTACTGCAATAACCAACCCCAATGAGAAATTATGCATTCCCACAGCCAAACACACTGTAGCCAACTCAATGAGCAAAAGTATATTAACTAGGGTCAACTCATCGTGACTCATACGACCTCTGCGCAAGAGTTTGAGCATCAACGGTGTGAATACTGTTAAGAGTGCAGATATGATTAAGAGTCCGTAGTAAACTGAAACCTCTGATGGTAGACCGTATTTGGCACCTGAGACAATGGAAAAAAAAAGAGTTAATTTAAGAGAGGTAGGGTAGGATAGGTTATCGGCTGGCTACTTTCTATTGTTATTTTCGGTAAAGTAAAAATAGATACATAACTTTAACCTAAACACACAAATGTATGCCTCAGACCAGATTAGAAACTAAGACCTGTAGCCACGACCGTTGTACAAAACATTGGAGGTACCAATCGCTTAAAGACAATACATGTTTTATGCGCGAATATAACCATTACCCTTATATGAAAGAAACTCACCAATATAACTGAGGAGCGCGGGGGAATTCATCACTGCATAACCCAACAAATGGACTACGAAATAGTTCGTGCCTATATTCACAACACTCATAGTCGATTCTTCATCTTTCACCTTCTTTGACTTCTTTGGTGTGACAACTTTCTCAGATTTCTGCTGTCCTGGTACTTCAGTCTCAAGAGCTTTTGGTTTTCTATGACGTATTTCACTCTTTTCATCATCTCTTTTAAGATCATCATTTACTTCTTCTTGTTTATGTTTTTCTGGTGTATCGGAGTCAGTTTTCTTATGTTTGCCACTTGCGAGCTTGTCTGGCTCATCGTCGCCATCTTTCCGTATTGTGACCCAGAGAGCTAAAGCTTTTACTAGCATAGCACCACAGAGTAAACATAACGATGGCATGTATTGGCCTAAAAATAACCAGGAAATAAATGGATAATGTTAACCAATTAAGTCTAGCTGCAAAGTAAGCACTGTAAGGTTTGTGGGATACTAGGGATAGAAATTCATGTAGTAATACTGAGGTAAGTATATTTTTGTAGAAAAATATTAAAAACAGCCATGACTTAGGTACTGAATAGCATTCATCATACAAACATTGCCTCTACTGAGGATTCGAGCCCAGAAATTGAGAGTAGGTGACATGTTGAAAACCGATGTACATACCACTTCAACACAAGAGGTCGGAAAAAGCATAAATTCTTGTAAGTCGTGATCGTGATCCTCTATCTACTACTAGGATGCATGCCAGCAAGAGAAATTTAACTCAAAACTCAACTCTTCTTAAACTAACAAGCTGTGAGTAATGAACTATTATAGAGCTACTATAAGAAAGGGAAAAGCACAAAACTTACAACAGAATCAGTGCTATAAACTTTTGACCAATCGAAATAAACCGATTCCTAGCAGCCAGTAAATAAAAGAAGTACTAATACAGGAAGTAATAACTAGGATGCTAGCCGGTAAGAGGAGGTAAGAAATTTGGATTCTACACAAACTTAAAAGGGTAAAATTGTTAAATCCTATACTATTAAAAATTTTGAGTAGGAATTGGTACATATTCTAGAAATGCTCACCGATCGAGATGAACCTATTTGTAGCAGCCAGCAGATAGAAGAAGTAGCTTTGGTGGAATCTCTCCAAGAGGTTGTTCAAGGACCTTAGAATGCTTTCTAATGCGATGCCCAGTCGATAGAAGTTAGCTGCATTAAGGCCGGTGACTTTAGGCGGGGTACCGGCTGGGTCGTCGGCGTCTCGGCCTTCCAGACTCACTGCTTCGATGCCGAAACGGTGGAAAAGGCCGTGGTTTCCGTTGGGAACCTTTGTTACAAAAGTTAAATTTTTATTAATTTTCTATGTAACTTGCTTTTTTTCGTAAAAACCTTCTATTAAGTATTAGAAAACTTTTAAAAATTGGAAGAAATCGGTAAATTCGTTTGGTAAAAAATTACTAATCATTTTGACTTTCACTCACCCCAGCAACCTGGGCGGACACCATGCCTAGCATTGTCCACACACCACTCATCCACTCGTCAGTCTTGCTACGCGCCCTTATCCATGAATAGCTGATGGACAACACAAAATAATTCAATTTTAATTTAAATACTGTTAGCACTGACAATCCTTTTAATTAAAAAGTATAGTGTTACTCTATATTCATGGCAACAAACTAATTCTGTTGAAAGCTGAGCTTTTGTATGTCAGCAGGAGGCCTATTCTATTTCAACGAAAAAATAATTTTCCATCGAAATTCCGCACGTTCCTTACTCTATTTCCCTTAAATTTCGAAAATTCGTTCGTCTGAAAAGTTTACAATTAAATTCTCCAAGCCATATAGCAAGCAAGAACGAAAAGTTGAAGTTGACAGATAATTGTTCGAAATTTTAACTTCAAATTGACGAAATGAAATGCTGTACCTTTTCATTTTAGTTTTGGGATTTTTGTTTAAATTAAGTCTAAAATGACTGCTAGAGAATTTCTCACCAAGGCTGCTTAGCGCGAGGGACATTTTAGCATGTAAAATTAAGGCTAACACTGTCAAAGAAGGTTTTTTTTAATGTCATCAAACTTTTTGTCAAAGTAATATTATAAAAGTAATCTAAAAAGTGGAGATGAATATAACGCACAAACATGACTCATTCCATTCGTTCACGAAAATAGTTTATGATTCCGAGCTTTATGTGCGTGTTCGAAAATGAAATAGAGTAGAGTGAGTCACTGGCGAAATTTCGTTTAAAATTCATTCGTTACCGAAATTTCGATTTGGAGAAAGAGAGTAGAGCTCCAGGATTGAATTGCTGTCGTTTATCCCACCATTTTGTTATGTTTCTATCGGTGGGTAAGGTACCAGAGCAAAACAGAATAGAGGATTGGGTCAGGGTAGGTAAACGTGCGAGATATGATTTTTAAAGAGAAACTTTTTAACGCACGCTTGACTTGGGGGAAGGGGGGGGACGCTGGCGAATGCGTTACGCGTTACGAAAAGTGTGTTCGGGCGAGGCGAACGGAAGTTGAGTGTTCAGTTTTTCATCCGTGTCTTTGTGTATGTGATTGCGTAAGAAAGCGCTCTACTCTTTCATTTTTGGGAACATAGTATTACTTTTATGCCGGCAATTTAAGAAACTGTGAAACTAACCTGTTTTTATATGAGCGATTTATACCAGATTTGACGCACAGTCTATGTACCAAATTGACTAGATCCAGATTTGGTAATTGGCCATTGAGCCCTTCAACTTTCACTTCTATGTATTCTGTAAAAAAAATATAAAATCTATTCGAAAGGAGAACAGTGATTATATAAATAAAAATGGCGTGATTTTATAAAACCACAATGCAAGTGAAACTTTTATAAACATTATTAAACAGTTATCCCTAGGCTGGGACTCGATCCCGTTCCGCCCGCGTAACAGGTAAGCTTTCTAAGACTGAACCACCGATGCTTGTTATTATTTTTTAATAATAATTAAAAATGTAATGCGGCATATTAAAAAAGGACAATAAAATTTGTGGCAATGTAATAAAAGTAAAAAGGAAGGCGCAACTTACTTATTTTTGGAGTATGAAACTCTAAGTTAATAGCTGCTTGAATAGACCCCGATCTTCCTCTAAGTGTTCCTGGATTCAAGCACCTTTCGTGGCTACTCGCCAAATTGAATCCAGCTTCTAATTTACTGAAGTCTAGGGAGGGAGTACCAGCCTGCCAGAAACTGCCAAGACTTGAATAGAATGTCTTAGTATCACTCTGGAGTCCGTGGTACGCTTCTAACCATGCTTGCATTCCTAGTTGCTCATGTTCAGTTACTAGGAATATTATGTCCTTTGCCCAGTATTTTTGAGCTGTAAGTAAATATTTATAAGTATTGCACTAACCTAACGTGAGTCCATACCTGGTGTTGAATTTGGCCAAAGGTTCAGTTAAAATAAGTACCGAAGCCGAAGTGACATTACGTTATAAATTATGTACATTTTTGCTACATTAACAAATAAAATTAATAAATAAAAAATAATAATAGCCTTTATTCTTCTTCTTTATAAAATAACTTAAAATAAAAACTTTTAGTTTAATCGCTGATATCGGCACGTGTACAATCAGGTTGTCCTTGGATATGGCCTCTACCAATTTGGCCCATTGGTTCTTATCTGTGGCTACATGTCGCTAACTCTTAGGTAGATCGTCTTCCCATGTTTTGTGTTCTCTATCTCTTCTACATTTACCATCTCGGGAGTACCACTCCATATCTTTTGCCCACTTGTTCCTCTTCGACCTCATGATATGCCCAGTCCATCTCCACTTCAGTGTTCTAACATCCACTACTTTCGTCTTTTTTCTTATGGCAGAGAGACGAACTTTGTCTTTTAGTTTGACACCTAACATACTTCTTTCGATTACTTGTTGGCATACTTTTAGCCGTTGTGTTATATGGTTTAAGTAGGACCATGTTTGGCATTCATAGGTGAGTACTGGAAGTATGCAAGTGTCGAATACTTTCTTTTTGTTTAAGCTAGGGCATATGATTGTTTTTCATTATTTGTTTCAGGTACCAGTATTGTGACCATGTGTTATTAGTTCTACGCTGTAATTCTTTTTGCATTTGTAATTGTTGCTATCACTTGTCCCAAATATATATACCCATCAACATATTCAATAAGTTAATTTTTTATGAGAATATTTATTTTGGAACCATTGGTCATGACCTTGGTCTTTATCAGGTTCGTGGTTAACCTTGCTTTCTCACTTTTCTCCGCAAGTTTTAGCAGCATGTGTTGAAGCACTTCTGGAAATTCCGCAACCAATACAAGATCATCAGCAAACCGTAGATGGTGTAATTTGCTACCATTGATGTTTATTCCCTGTTTTTCCCAATCTAGGTTTCTGAATATTTCCTCTAAAAGTGCAGAAAACAGTGTAGGAGACAGAGGGTCCCCCTGTGTTACTTCCTTCTTTATTCTAAACTCTTCTTCAATTTTCTCTAACTAGACTTTTGACATACTTCTTCCATATATTTGCGAAATGATTCTTATGTACTTATGGTTAACCCCCTGTTTGTGGAGTGCTCTATATAAGAAATTGTGATCGAACGAGTCAAATGCCTTACTATAATCAACGAAAGCCAAGTAGTATGATTTTCTATATTCTTTGTATTTTTCAATTACTTGTTTCACTACGTGTATATGGTCGATAGTGGAAAAGTCTCTACGGAAATCAGCTTGCTCTTTGGGTTGCTGATCATCCAGACATTGTGTTAGTCTTCCGAGTAAGATTTTATAAAAAAAATTATACATATTCGACATTAGACTAATAGGTCTCCCTTTTTATGGATGAGAATTATCGTTGATTTTGTCCGTTGTTTGAGATTGAGATTTGAGATTCCTAAGAATCTCCTCTTTATGTAGGATCTCATTAATTACGCAGATTAGACTTGGCCCTGTGATGTCTACTGTCTCCTTTATGAGCTTGATTCTCTAGTGTTCTGTGTTATTATTGTTCCTCTTGCCATTCTAGGGTTTGTGTTGTAGTCTATTAATGATTTCTACATTGATAAATTGGTAAGGCATGTTAGTTAGAATAAAATCAATGGCATTCTCATGTTTATCATCAGGAGAGATCCAGGTCCATTGTCTTGCAGTTTTTTTCTTGAACATACTATTCATTAACATTAATAAAATGTTTGATTAATTATAAAAAATATTGTTATATTACAATAAAAAAAATAATACAAGAAGAAATCATGTAAGGTGATCTTGCTGATAGACAAATATTACAATTGATAACTTTTTAAAGGCATATTTTTGACACTTGATGTTGTTCTTGTCCAGGGAAATATAAACAAACACAGACGAATCCACATATTTGCTTACAAATCATCATTTTATATAGATTTCGATTTTAAAATAAAGAACATCATCCACGTTTCATACATTTTTGGTCCAAAACCAAAAGTGCTGGCCAAAAAAAAAGGTGCTGTATTTTGATAGAACACGTCCGCCATAGCATTTGTTACTATGGCACCAAAGCTGTAGCACCACTGTGCATCATAGTGTTTGAGTTCTAAAAGTCTGTCTTTTTATTAATTTTCGATTAAACTATTAACTATAACAAATGAACGCGCAGCTGACGGAATTGCAGCAGCCGGGAAACGATTTGTGGATGATTCGTGGGCGATTGCAATCCCAGCATGTCAGAGCAAGACAATATTATACTAACATTGTAGTGGACAAATCTTTATCGGGAAGACAAGCCATCGCTCACTACTACTATACATGCATCATTGATAAAAGAACAATTGGGTGCTGTTCTCACATTATGTGTATTGTATGGTATATGAGCTATGCTCGACATTTTCGAAATATAGCCCCACCAGCTTTAGGATTGGAGAATGTCATTGTAATGCCAGATGATTTTGATAATATTGTTTAATAATAATATATTGCATTAAACATAAAAAAAACTATACTTATTTTATTACAACTCCCCAAATATAAATGGATGCTAGCATGACAGAACATTTTATTTACGGTTTATTGTACATTTAATCTAAAATAATATGGTACCTCATTACTTTAGCGAATTCATTTGATTGAAATGTCAGATAAATAGGTATTTATGTTAAATAAATGTGACATTTCATCATCATTTTGAAATATGGCACCAAAGCTTATAGCACCTCTAACAGTGGTGGTGCCATATAAACAAATGCTAAGGCCGACGTGTTCTATCAGAATACAGCACTTCTTTTTTGGACAGTACTTTTGAATTTGGACCAAAATGGATGATGTCCTTTCTTATCACTTTTCTATTTCTTATTTAAATCAATTTAAGCGGAATTTCAGCTGACAAATACAGCAATGATAGCTATTTCAGCTCAATCCGTTCAGTGGTTTGAGCTGTGCATGCTGTGTGTGTTGATATATCAGTCGGTATTGGTTGCCTTTTACATGTACAGATAAATAACACTTGTACAGTAATGAACTATGAATTAAAAATATTTTAATGAGCCCATTACTTCAGCAAAACTGTTTTAACATAAAATTTTGTGTTGATTTACTCAACACTAATCATGAACATAACCCATTAAAAATGGCTTTATTACATAGTCAAATATTTTCAAATGTACTCACATCTTGCAAACTGTGCAAATGCTAACATTAAAGCTATGCCTGCACCGGTGCCTTTCTGGTGTGAGGATATTGACCTGTAAGGAGCTGTCACAACCAAGGCTTCCAAGGAAGAAGTGCGAGGTGCTCTTAAGATGCCATACACATTAGTACCTTTATAAACCTGCAAAAAATCTTTGTTTTAAAGAAAATAAAATATAACTCTCTTAAATAGTCATACTATTTTGAATATTTTAAATCACCAATTTTACATAAAACATAACAATGTTTTATCTATAATTGGATGTATTGTGCATTAAGTTACATTCATTTAAACTTTCATGGTCATTAACATTATAGTTATTAGTGAGATTGCTACCATATACCTTGTTTTTATGTGAGTCTACTATATTTTTTGTGCAATGTGATCATGGAGCTTGCATCAGTGCAGAAATATTGGAGACACCTAAAAAACAAGGTACAACATAGCGATCCTGCTAATAAATATCTATATTATATTTTAAATATTGAGGCAACATAAAATTATAATTGATCAAGTAAATCATAGTATTTTTTTTACTGAATATAACTTTTATTTAAAAGGATTGAATACAGATTTTGTAAATATTTCATCAACATACAATATGCTTGTATAAATAAAACTAGTTTTAACAGGTTAATGTATGAAACTTTCTTTATTTATTGACGTTTTGCAGCCTTTTCAGGTCTGCTTCGTCAGAATAACTGAGTCAGATATTATTCTTACGAAGCAGACCTGAAAAGGCTGCGAAACGTCAATAAATAAATATAGTTTTGTGCACTAACCTGTTAAAACTAGTTTTATTTAATGAGTGATGTGTGTGAAAACCTAAGAAAGAAATATAATATGCTTGTATACTTGCCTGTTCTTGTCCCAAAGGGTAGTTAAGAGTAAAATTATGGGTGTATACTTCTAAATGCAGTTGGGACATCTTGGCCACCAACCAGGGTACTGGCATATCATCAGTATCATCATATTTGTCCTGTAACATTATAACATAAATATTTATTAAGAAAGCAATAGTAGTAAATTGATTTGAAATAATTCCAATTTGTAAATGTAAGAAGTTTGTAGTTAAAAGTAATAATTTTTACAGATGGTCAGATACAGTCAGTTACAGCCTGTTAATATCTCCACTGCTGAGGTCACAGGTCTTACTTATAAGTCTTCTAAATAAGAAAAATTGAGCTATATAGCTATTAGTACAGTGGATAGGTAAGTTGTAGGAAAATGTTTACTTAGATAAAAAAATATTATTTATATTTTTTATTTTTATGAATTTGACTGCTATTATTATTTATATTGGCTAAACTGTATTTCCAGGGCCCAAGTGGTGATACTTCACACTAGGTTAGGTTAGGTTAGTGTTGAGAACAGTGGCCAGCGAAGCACCAAAAAAAAATTAAGATACCTTTTCTACAAAAAACTTCGAATATCTCCTCTTGGGCCCTGGAAGTACAGTTTTACCTTTATATTTTTTAAGCATATAACTGCTATTTGTTTAATTGACAAAATATACTAGAAAAATTGCATGCGGACCAGGCAGCTTGTTATTTGTTAATCAGGTAAACACTACAGAAGTACCTCAAGCTCTTGCTGAAACTCGCTGAAGAATTGTTTAGCCGATTGTTCACCGTTAAACTCATTTGTCACCAGTCCAGGTAGCAGGGCGTTCTCAGAGAAATACGTCTCGTTGTTGAACTCCTTGTTGCCCAGCATCATGAACCACACTAGGGCCCCCACATAACACAACATACACAAGGGCGAATGAATCTTTTTGAGAACCCTCACCCATTTTACCGAACCGTAATCAGGGTCTGATAACAACCCCATTCTAACGTATAGCTTTATGATAAAGACATCCAAATAATACCAAAGTAAATGATCTCGTAGTTTATGTGTTTACAACAAATGTATTTTATTGACAATTAATAGTAAATTTACTGCAATAAATTAATGAAATCGGCCAGCAATCCGTTTATATTTTGGGTTCAGCCGTCAACACGAACATAATATTAGGTTATTCTCTTTGGCCGTCAAAGATCGACTGACAGTCACTGTCACTGTGATGGTATTTTTTTTAATTATTCATGACCGTGGATACAAGTTCTTCAGTCGTATACATAAATACAAATCTTAATCTTCTTTTTTTTACATTAGAATTTTAGTGTGACGCATTTTAATGTTTCTTGGTGTGTTTGGCATGAAATGTATCGAATTGGTTTTTTCAATGAACTTCTGTTAGGTAGTCAACACTACAATAATGTTGTCACGTCCACATGACCGGAATAGCGAATATTTTAACGATTCCACTATTAATTATTATTATTATCCCACTAACCATCTGCGCAACTGAAGAATAAATCTTATTCTTCAGTTGCGCAAATGTTTGTAACACAAAATCACACCAATTTTATTTCACAGTATCCAATATGAACGAATTTAGGAATAACAAAAATAAGACGCCAACCGCACTTGACGAAATCTCGCCAAAAACTCTCACTGTGACGGTTGTAGACAATGTTTCCAGATCTTATATTTGTATTTCGGAAAGTGTATGAATAAAATTTCGATGTATGACAAAACGGGATATGTGGAAAACATCGGCAAATTATTGGGTCCTTAAAACGAATTGCTTTAACACTTCGTCTTTTAGTCTTTATACTGTTGATGAGTCAGAAATTTAAAAAAAAAAAATGGTTGCCTGTAAAGTCGGTTTTACGGGCGAAGATTTTACGTGACAACGTCTTTTTCTCGGTAGAATATTTATTGATATGAATATAATTAAATTGCACAATAGGAACAAGGAATTGAATGAAAATAAGAATTGCACAAATTTTAACTATAGAAATATATTTTGTTTACTAAAACATTGTACATGTAAACTTAAACTTAACACGAGAGACTCATCGTAACGTTACCGAGCGTTACACTTTTTCATAAGTGACTCCCAGCCGCAACCTAATTTAAGACGTTGTCACGTCAAAATATTACTAATATTATAACTAACGCAATGGCAGATGGTATAACCCGTGTTATGATTTGTTTAATATTGCCTCATTCTCTCCAGGCAATAACGACATTGGTAAATAAGTCCATTCAAAATAGTATTTTCGCGCGGCGACCGCGCGTCGTCCACTCCTCCCTGCTACGTTTGTCTTTACTTAACCCCAGGATTTTTGCTTTGCGCCACAAGCTGTTCACATAATTAACCTTTGACTGTAACATTAAATTTTGACAACGCTTTCATTTTATTGGCACAACATATTTATTGTTTTTGTATCTCGAATGAGAATAATAAGTTAACGGATCGAACTAAGAAATGGAACAAGTGAGAACAAATACTCTCACTAGTTCGACGAGCGAACAAATGAGAAAAATAATTCTCATTAGTTCGACGATCGAACTAATGAATCGAACTAGTGCGAATAAAGGCCAATTTGAAGTCACTCCAGACATCCTTGATTAAGGCAGCTGCCGATATTGACATGGACCTCGTTCGTGCTGCGATAGCTGGCCGCGCAGATTGAAGGCCTGTATTCAAAATCACGGATGTCATTTTGAATAAACTTTATTATCATAAAAATCTATGTTTTGTTAAGTTCATTTTGGTATATAAATGATTAATAAACTTGTTTCAATTATTTTATATTGAACATGTGACAGAATTTATGACCTGACTAGGTATATACACTAGGGAAAAAAGTGACAAAATTAGGAATAGCTTAACATAGATCTAATGATCAAGACTTAATAAAGTATGCACATTTAGCCCAAGTATTTCTCATCTTAGGAGATAACGTCGACTCGATATCTCAAGAGATAACCAAATTGCAAAGTAATCTAGCTTTTATTAAAAGTTCAACGTTGTACCATTCACTGATAAACCCTGAGTCAATTCGAGATGTAATTAGTTAAATTAAAGTATTATACGGGAACAGTTATATAATAGATTTAGATATTAGAGAATACTATGTTATAATTAAAGTAGGAAATAATATTGTTAAAGTATATAAATTCCCGGTTATTATGCACGATATCTATAGTCTATATAAATTATCTATTATACCAAATAAGAACCACGAGATCCTTAGTCCGTTATCACCATTCTTTGCTGTACACTCAAAAGATTTCAAGTACATAGAGGAAGAATGTCCGAAGACGAGCAAAGGGTATCTATGCGAAATGATGCAGAATCAGGGAAGCCGATCATATCCGGAATGCATTCACCAACTCATCATCACTCAACAAAGGAGTCCCGTATGTAACCCGATCACGGTCTCACTGGAAAATCCAGCCTTCGAGGAGCTCGACGATAAGCACTACACCATCAGCTTTCCGAGGCCATCAAAGGTACATCTATCCTGCTGTCAAGATCTACATCGGATACTCCAAGGTAGCTACTTCATTATGGTTCCGCACAAATGCTACGTCGAGACACCGGAGTTCCTAATCACCAACACTAAGGATCACATAAAAGGACACGCGATGACGATTCTTGAGGACCTTCCAGAGAAAACTAACTTCATATCACCAACGATACCTCCACTCAAATTGACCTCAATTAATTTAGATCATCTACACGCAGTCAATTCTAAGATAGCATTACAGACTCCGTTACAACCAGCCAGCTACAACGACTACAGCCTGTATCACACAACTATCCCAATGTATGTATTACTAATCGGCGCATGTGTGCTGATTGACATCGTAGTGTATCGCCAGTACCTAAGAAAGGCTAAATATGGCAAAGATAAATCTCAAGCAACTCATCCCAGAACTCCGAGAGTCTACGCTATTCCCAGCGCGTTAAGATCCGATACAAAGCAGCTTCCAGCTCAATTTACGACATAAGACTTCAATAGTCGCTGCACTACGGGGGGGAGGTGTTACGCAGAGCTAGTATAGGGAATTCGCCAATTAAGCATCGACCTCAATGAACATGAACAACATCAAGTGCAAGTGTATGTTGTCAAAATGGTCGCGGTACTGAATAAATATTTTTCTTTCTATGTTTCTTCTAAAAGCTTATTGATTTCCCATGTGATATGATGCAAGCCTACCCTATTGGTCTTAAGGGTCTATTGTGCATTGGTCTGCGTCTGTAGATGCAGCAGGCACCAACCAAATACAGAAGTTGCCTTAGGAAGCACGGAGTTGGTCGTGTTAGTTTTTGATCACAATTATGTATTAGGTATACTTAGTAAATTGATAAATGTTTAAAGCTTCATCATAACCAGACTATTAAATACCCCATTGCTGGGAAACGAACCTTCGCTATGGATGGCAAAGGCAGTTTAGGACATAACATGAACCTCCACGGATCAAAAAGCAGGGCCGTAGCCAAAGTTTTATATAAGATAAGGCAGTGGTAATTACAGGTAGATCTTAAGCAGGGGGCTTCGGAGACTGCCGCCTCGTTTTAACGTGCCCCACCTTACAGTATTTTTACATTAAAAAAATGCGTGAGTGTCGTGGAACACTCAGTTGGAGCGAAGTTATAAATATTTATATAACACCCACAAAGCTTCTTTTTTCCCTATTCCATCAAAAAAAGTATCCTACCCACCATCTTATTCCCAGTCCGGATTTCGCCCAGTGACGATTGGGTCCAGAGCGGATTGGACCTAGTGTGTATTATGCCTAGTGCCCTCCCCTATCCATCTCAATATCTCCCTATTCCATAAAAACTGCACACGTACTGGGGCCGCGTGGTGGCCCGCTTCTCCGTACCTTCAATTATACAAAACTTTAAACCAAGTCCACAGCCACGGCCGTCAGTGGTCGCCCACCTAGCTGCCCACCTAACTACCCACCCAGTTTAGCTAGCTGCCTCGCTAAGTTGTGACGGACAAATTTTTACTTTACAAATTTTTCACCTAGCTCCCATCTGCCATACATTTAATTATAATCCCCTTTAATTTTTATTATTATTTGCTTGTAGGTACTAAATTAATTGAAATTTTATCTGTACTTAAGGATTTGTACAAAAGTAGTAACAGCACAAGAATGTTAGGTACTGAAGATGAGCACCACGCCGGGATATGATATTGCATACTACCCCCCTGGGATAGCACCGTGATATAATACCTATATAACGCGTTTTTATCACGCTCAATTGTCAAATTACTATGGAGTTTGACAGTTAGACGCGATAAAAAACGTAATATAATGTAAATTTTAGTGCTCATGCTACGGGGCAGCCCCCGTGGCCTAGCTGGTTTTTATCACGCTCAATTGTCAAATGGAACCACTATAGAGACACGATTTTTGAAGCAGTTCTTGTTACAACAAACATTAAATCAAATGCATAAAGGTATCAATTAAATAATAAAAGAAAGCAAAATTTGACAGTGGTAATACAAAATCGCTTATACTCGTAAGTACACTTTGGTGCTTTTAAAAAATTAACTTTTTCAGTATTTTTTTAATGTTAATTTTTAAGCAGCACCAAAGTGGCGTTTGAAGCGATTTTGCTTTTCCACTGTCGAAATCCATATTTTATATTAGTAACAAAAACTGTGTCAATAATCTCACCTACCTAATCACCATTGATTTGCCATTGATGCAAAATTATTCATTAATACTAAAGTAATTAAAATTCCACGCGTACCAGGCAGCAGACGGGACTCGCTATCCGGGCGAATGCTGACCATTATGCTACCGCGGCCCTGATGGCCGTGTCGAATTGTCTCTAGCCTTCCTTAAGCTGCAAGGCAGCGCCTCTTCGCATTGTAGGTAACACACTAGAGTTATTTGCTTTGACTTTTGATAAAAAACTTTACAATGAAAGGCTAATTAAATTAAATAAATCCGTAGCTTCTACTAAATGCAAAATAGAACTTCATTACTGCTGATAATATCCAAACTTATGTGGAGATAGAATTGCAATTAATTAGGCACAAGAAAATAATAAACATTTATATGTAGACCCTGTAAGAGTATAATACTGCATCATCTGCGTCACAGTGTAAAATGGATTGTGTCATCAATAGTCATTCAATAAAAAAACATTAATCTTATTACAACAAAAAAGTTATTGTACTTCTTAACAACGCGACACGAGTTCAAGATAAAATGTCATTCAACATTTAAAAACATTGTTGCCGATTCTGGCGTGAGTGTCTAAACTTAAACAAAATTTAACATCAGTCCCTCATTTTCATTCTGTTAAGAATGACAAGGATACACTGTTGTCAAATTTAATTTTTGGTTTAGGGAATCATGTTAGAATAAACACCAATGTCTAACTTTCTTGTAGTAGGACCGTAATACTTTGTAAGACTAGTAAAATAAAAGAAAGAAATATTTTATTAAAGAAATTTATTTCAATGTATTTTCCATTTTGGATGTATACATGAAAACCACTTTGGCGCTGCTTAGGAAACATACAATTTAGTTTTATTATCAAGACATAATATTATTATCATAAAATTACCAAATGACTTTAGTATCTAGGTACCTATGCCTCTATAGCTCGTATTATACATAATTATTCATGTTTTAAACAATTGCACCAATTAGCGAATTATTATTAAAAACATATTTTCGTAACTTAAAATTTGTATAAAAAACAACTGAGTCGCTTGCCACACGCGGCTTAACTTACATGGGTTATAATTGACTTCCCCAATTTGTCCCTTCAGGGGATGAAGTTCCTAAAATACTATCACTTCCTTTTTTCTGGGTAATCAGATCAGGATAAGATCATTTTATAATAAATTCCCTTATTTACATTACATCATCAAATTTTTAAAATTAATATTTTAATTATATTCAATAGCACCAATTTTCATGATTTTAAGTCTCAAAACTATCATAGTATGTTTTTAATTTTGAAGTGTCATTGTATGTTTTACTAAAATCCAACACTTTAGAGGGGTTTTCCTTCCCTTTCCTTTCTTAGCTGACCTCTCTTACTCATATTCTACGTCTGTGTCAGATTACAACAAAAGGCCAAGAAGTTGTAAGATTTGAGATTTATCAATGAATTAATGAATTATCCTTAATGTTAGTACAATCCCTTCACTTCTATTTATTAGAGATAAATGTATTTGTATGCCTTTTGACAATTATCTTTCAATTGGATCTCACATTTTATGCTCAAAAGTAAAAAGTCAAATATCCATCGTCGAATGTTCAAATCAACCTACTAGAAAATGAATTTATTTGCTCAGTATTCTTTCTATTTCTTCGACTGTCTTGTCTTTAGTTTCAGGCATGAGTAGCAGAGCACCAACACCGCCAAAGACGTTAACCCCAGCATAAATGAAGAACATCGTATGCATACCGAACATTTCACTGATGGGTACAAAAACTATCAATTGTAGTGATGACACGAACCATGAGTATGAGACTAAGATGCCCATGATCTTCGATCTGACCTGTAAAACAGAAAAAAAAACATCATTATCAGCCTATTAATGTCCCCGCTGCTGGGGCTCAGGCCTATGGATGGAACAGGGAGATTGGGCCATGGCACACCACGCAGGCCTAGTGCCGGTTGGTGGGTATTAACGACTCCAAATGCTGCCGGGCCAACGGCTTAACGTGCCTTCCGAAGCACGGAGACAAACAGAAAAAAAAGATCTACAAACGTTCAATATATATAACTGTGCATTATAAAGACTTAAATTATGTAATTTTAATAGATTCGTATGAACAGACTCTTTCAGAAGTGCGATCGTTAAAATAAATAAAATTTGAGTCAAGTTGGAAATATCATTTTCGGCTAGGGATGCATGGCGTTAGGTATACCAAAAATCGGAAAAGGTTTATTCTTTTTTTACATATTTACCTTGTGTTGTCTAGTTGTAAAACTTTCCGAATTTATGATTATGAATGATGTTTAAGTAAATATACATACCTGAAAACTGAACATTTCCGAGACGATCACGTAGAAGATGGACACTACACCAGCAGCGTAGGCCCAAACAGAAATGGCGACTGACAATAACAGCACCCAGCCGGGCGGACTGAAACCACTGTGCTGCAGCATTAGCACTACACCCATGCATGTCATTGCCACTGCTATCAGAATTTGCATAGACACGATGATGACCTGTAGATCATAAAGAAAGGATCATATACCTAAACTACGAACAAATGATGCCAACACGAGATATTAGGTATTACAATACGGCTCTAATTGTGGTAAGAGAGATATTCGTTTAGCTAATGGGCTATGTTAACAAGAGGCTACGGCACTAGACCTTCAACAGCCATTTCAATAAAAGGCATCCAGTAAAAGGTAGGAACTAGATTATCCTTTCCTTTTACTGGTGGTTGATTATATTGCTATCACTGAGGTCCCGAGTATATAACCCGTCAACATAACGTTAAAATATTTTATCGATTCTCTAAGTTTACTTCCAGGGTCTTAATCAGTCTTTATTATAATAATCCAAATGTTTGCCCTTTTTGGGGGATAGATGAATGTATGTTAATGCTGTTCTACTATCGATAAATACTTTTATTACATTCAACAAGTTACATTATTCTAACTCACCTTCCTTCCGAATTTCTGCACGAACACTAACGAAACCATAGACCCGAAGATCATCAGGATTGGCACCACCAAGGTCTGGAGGTCAGGGTCGATGGAAATCTTCGAGGAGGACAGAATCACCCAGCCGTAGGTCATGATGGCAAAGGTGCCATTGCCGGATTGCGAAGTATTCACTAGGAGTGCGCGAAGGAATCCGCTACGCCACGCTTTGTTCTTGACTGGAAATTAAAAGTTCTTTGATTTATATCAGTGTCAAACCTAAATAATGTGAAAATATTAATTCCAAGATAATGGAATTTAAATTTAACACTGGTTATGAGATTGTAACAGAAACTTCGCATAAACAACATTTTTTACTTGAATCTGATTAAAATCACAAACATATGGATTATGGAGATCAAGAACAAGTTAATAAAAACGTTCAAATTTTAAATGAAGCCTCTAACGTAGGTATATGTACCACTTATAAGAAATACTTACAAATATTGATAAACGTGATTTCAGGCAGTGATTTGTAACGCAGCTCTTCATTTCTCATTTCATTAATCTCGAGTTCTATAATTTTGTGGTTCACCTCCAACCCTCGGAGAAGTGCTAAAGTTTTGGCAGCCTCCTAAAAATAATAAAAGCCATATAAAGTATATTCTATTACATAAACTGAAGCATTATATTACTAAGAAAATTTTCAATGCACGCCTTTAACTATAATTATAAAGCAAATAACATTTAAAAATAACTCACATCATATTTTTCATTTTTCGCTAAGAAAGCCGGTGACTCGGGGGCGAATATAATAAGCCCGATAGCCAACACTGTTATAGTAATCGTTATCCAAAGAATGATGTGGTAGCTCAGGTAACTGCCCATTAAGTACATGGTGAGAAGGCCAAAGTTCTGCATCAGCATGAGAAAAGCGACCGTGGCACCTCGGATGCTGTCCTGGCAGATTTCACGTACGTATATAGGCATAGAGATGAAACAGCCCGATGCTGCAACTCCGGCTGATGCTCTGGATAGTATTAGCATTGTAGTGTTGGTAGCAAAGAGCCTCAATGTGCAGCATATCTAAAAAATAATAAATATAATAATTTCAAAAGTACGCCAAATACTGAACAGATGTCAAAATTAATTTGTGAGTACTACATTTCTATCACGTTTCTCAGCTGTCAATTTTTGCAGTGGAAAAGTAAGCAGGAATGGGCTTAGAGCTTAGATTCCTCAGAGGTCACAAAAGTCCTAAATTGGATTCCAAATAGACTTATTAAATGTTATACTAATATTCTAGATTTGTATTCAACTCTGGGTAGTGTTATGATTGCTTGTTATATCCAAAACGTAAACACTTTTGATGGCTTCACTTCGTATCACAGATATTGCCTGATAGTTTTAATTTTATATTAGTATTATTATATTATTAACTTCTACATTATTTATACGAAATTAAGAACAAAAAATTACTAAGGATATAACAAATTGTGATCTCTACAATGGCAGATGCAATGACCAGGCCCTCACACAGTTTGAAAACTCACCAGTTGAGGTATTCCCACAGCCAACACACCAAATTTTCTTCCGTACGCATCTGTTATGAACGCATACAACGGCACCAAGCACACTGCCGTAAGAGGTAAAACACTGCTGACCCATGATAGCTCTGTGCCCGACAAAGGGTATCCAGTGGGAGACTGGTCCGATGTCAGAACTTTTGTCATGGGTGACATCCAGCCGTTCTCCATCCCGTATAAGAACATCATCAGTGAAGCTGCAAGCAGAAACTTTTTAGTCACTCTGATTTCCTAGTAGTTTATAAACAAACACGAAAAATAAACAAAGATTTATTTACCTATCACTACCACTATCCACTGAACACGAGTATGTCCTTGCTCCTCTGTGTTTTTATTTGAGATCTCATTATTTATTTTAGCCTTCATTTTTATCACAATAAAATTTATGTAGGACAAGGACTAATTTATAAATAGCAGTACTTTAAAGTGTGTTATTTGTTTATTTTTTCTATTCACCGTTCTTTATAAAGAACTTTTGGTTGAAATGAGAAAAAATAAAAAAATAATTCTTCAAAGCAGCTGTAGCTGCAGAAGATGTTGGTGGAATGAGATGTAGAGTTGATGTTACTACTACTTTATATACTAAAGTAATGATGATTCTGATGATTCAGGGATGCCTACAACCTAGTGAATGTGTCTGGCTCTCATAATTAGAATATTTTTTAACGGTTTTCCATCGATATTGTTTCATATGGATACTTGCTTTTGCCTGCAACTTCACTTACAAGGATTAGAGATTTTTTTTCACTGGGCAAACCTTTGCCTTATATGCTTTAGAAACTAAAAAGAACATCAGTTTCCTCATATCTGAAAATGTTTTAGGTCTGAAATCTTAATAAGCAATAACGTCGTCATTTCCTACCCTGACCTATATTATTTATTCAATCGGTACGGTTTGTCATATCCGCGTAACATTAGGTCAATCCTAAAATATGTGAAAGTTAGGTACCTATGTAGCAGTTTATATGAAACTTTTACCACTGATACTCATTATAAACGAGTATCATACAAAGTATCATACAATAGTTATGTTGCGTTACAGTTTTGACTTGGCTATTAAAGCCCAACTAAGTCAAGTTTATGTTTTGGTATTGATTGATTGGAGTTGCATTTTATTTTACTTTTTCATTAATATAACATTTGCCTTAATGGTAGAAATAATAAGAAAATGCTGTTTGTGGATATTTATTAAATTTTGAGTGTTTTTGTTCGTTTACTAAACACGAGACTGGAACTAAATTGGTTTTTAAATACAAAAATTCTGTCAATTTTAGGCTTAATTAAAGAAATTATAACAAAACAATATTATTCAATACTTTTTTCATTTATGTTTCGAAATATTTAACAGCAACCCTAGAGAAAATTTAACGGCAGCGTTAGTATTTATTTTATTTATTTCCTTGACACTATCCGTAGCGTAATTCAAATAAAGCAAAATAAACAATCTAGAAATCTAATAATATACTTAGATAAAATATTTAATTTTCCATAAAATAATGTTGATATACGTATTAATCGTGTTTGCTCTAGAACTACAGACACGATAGAACGCGAGCTCCAGGTGATGTGATCTGTCACGAGATTCTTGTGTGGACATCACAATTAAAATTTCCATCACGCTGCTGATACAAGCACATTTTTTAAATGAAACTTGTATTATTAATGTACGTTTGTACATCTGTCCCATGGTACGCTTTTCGTGCAATGGATTTGTAAGTGCTATTCTGATGATATCTTCCATTCATATGTATTTATGTAGACCTACTTTTTTTTACGCAAAATTCCTTCCTAGGTCTTGGTCCCTACGTGTAGGTAGTATTATGAATATCATGGTAAAGTAATTTAAGCTACAGTACATATTTGAAAATGATATCCAATTTAGTATACCGCTAACTATAAAAATTGGATCACAGATTTAAAAAAAATACGCTTCAGACAATAGCATAAAAAACTAACTATAGATGTAAGTAGGTCTATATGTATACATTATGTTTATTTGTTCAAAAAGAATTTGTATTTTCATATAACACGCGAGGCAGGGTTAAAATGTAATTTCTTTCAGGAGTTACTTATAATGCAGTTATTAATTTTCTTATGGCAGACTCCAATCCGTATGGCGTAGCGCTACGATAAATGCTACGAACGGCGCCGTAGCATACACTATGCAATACAAACATTAGGATGCTCAGACGCAGCTTAAAGCTAAACAAACACAATATTAAGCGTCGTTCCCTCCCAGACTGGAATGGCAAACATTTGCACAGATTATACAATGTCATATCATTACTACGTTACTACCTGACTTTAATTTATCTACTACTCCGCATTGTCAAACAAGTACGAAAACAAAGTCATTCGAGTAAGCACTGATCGCGTTATCACTTCACTCACACAGGTGATGCACCGGCCGCGTTCTTCTGATAGTAGAACCTAGTAAGATTTTTTAGTTGTATCGTGCCAGACAGACGCTTTTCTGACAGATATAAAAATATTTAAATTAAAAGCCGATTGCAGCGCTGCCTATCGTGTAGAGTTACAAGATAAGTTTCCTTACATTTTTTCATGTTACCATCAGGTGGCTTGTTTGCCACCAAAAGGGTAAGTGGCCATAGCCTCCGCTGGCGATACCAAAAATATCATTAGCACCGTTGCCTATTCTGACACCATCCCCCTACCCCGAGCCCTGGAACCTTACTCACCGACAGAAACACAACACCAGGTAATATTATTTACCTGCGATCTTCTGTAAGGTGAAGATTATTTTCCCAGACGGGCGCTCCAATTCGAGCGGAAAATCAGCTATGTCTTATTTGAACTTTGCAAATACTTCTATTATTTTAATAATTATTTGCGCGATTTTCTATTTTTTGTGAATTAAAACTTATTATTTCGATCTCCTCCGTGTTTCAGAAGGCAAGTTAAGCCGTTGCTCCCGGCTGCATCTGCAATTGTTAGTACTCACCCATCCGCATCGGGCCGCGTGGTTATGGCCCATTCTTCATTTATGTTATCCATAGGTGAGGCTTGCGCCCCAGCAGAGGGGACATTTATAGGCTGATGATGAAGAACTACGTTCAAAGTACCTATTATATATAAACTCAGTAAAGTCGTTCTTAAATTAAGGCATGACCAAGGGAAATAGAATTAACCTATTTCTAATATTTCAATTGTCATATTACAAACACACACAGGTGTTTGTAACAAAAACTCCTTTGAAACGGCTTGACCGATCGCTATGAAATTTTCTTGTATATTTAGTAGGTTGGAGAAAAGGAGGTTAACTATTTTTCATACCCGTAAGTGTCGCCGCACACGGACCACCGACCACTACCACAAAACGCCGCCACCGGCATATTTCTTCTAGTTTTCATACATTTTATATGGACTCGCCACACACGGTACGCCAGTCTCGGTACGCTCGTCGTTGCTCGCTTCTTGTAGCCCGCACCGGCCACTTAATGCGCCGATACAAAACGCCGCCACATCACTCGCGCACTCGCGCGATTCCCCACCCCTCTCGCCCTTACCTTAGTCGGCCGCTGTCGCGCGCTTCATCCACTTTAGTAGCCGCTTCTAGCTTCTCGTGGCGGCATTTGTGGCTGTGGCGTGTGGCCCGTGTGCGGCGACACTAAGTGATAAGGGTAATAGAAATATATTTTTTTGTTTTAAATTTTTTATGATTCAGGAAATACATAAAACGCTAATTTTCACTTTTCCACCCCTAATTTTACGGAGGTACGAAGCTCTAATGCATAGTCACATTATGTTGTCATTGAAGTGAACTCTATGGGAGACCCCATAAAAGCTTAATTTTTCATTAATCTTTTTTGTTTAGTGAATTTCAAATTTCCAGCTATGCCACAATCTACGTCATGAACTGTAAATGAGATTTAACAAAAAATATGAAAATCGATTGAGAACTCTCAGATTAAGAATTCTTTATTAAAGCTGATTCTGTTGCTGATTCATGCCTCGCTCACTCCGCCCTCAAAATACTTCTACGTATTGTTAAGGAGCTCGATGGCGTTGGTGGCTAGCGCTTTCGGCCTGCGAAACTTTCGCAATGGTCGGTCATTGGATGGGTGACCAAAAACTTATTATCTCGAACTCATCCGTGCTTCGGAAGGCATGTTAAGCCGTTGGCCCCAGTTGCATTTGCAGTCGTTAGTACCCACCAATCCGCACGGGGCCTACGCGCTGGCTTACAGCCGAATCTCCCCGTTACATTCATAGGGAAGGCCTGTGTCCCAGCAGTGGAGACATTAATAGGCTGTGATGTGATGGCGTTGAGTTTCTGTCAGTGGAGTAAAGTTTACAGAGTTTTACCGCAGAGAATAGGGTCAGGGCAAATACGCCCAATTGTCCTCCCGAATGGTCCCTCTGGAACGCTCACTAGAGCTGCTGGCCGTGGTTGTCCACCCCGTGTTGGACGTGAAGTTCAACATGGGGGGTGGGAGGTGGCCGAGAGGGAACGGGGGGTTAATCCTCTGGCCGCTCACTCCCACCGCAGAAGAACAGGTAGGGGAAGGCGAAGGCGCGTCCTGGCTGACCCCCTACCTGAGGGAATCCCCCGTTGTCTGGCATGGTATTAGCTATGCCGGTCACCGATGGATTCTGTGACGGCAGCCATCTCTAGCAGTTCTGTCCTACATGAAAGGGCCGTGGAAGGGCCTGCGAGGGAAACACCTAGGCAGCTCTTCCGCAGCGGACGGGGAGCGGTTCGGTGGGCAATAGGCCTCGCACTTAGGTCCTAGCACGGGCAGTCCTAGGCACGTCTGCGATATCTCCAGAAATACCACGGGTGATGCCTGCCGTGGAACCCCGGCTAGGCCGGGAGGCTGTTGGATGCAGAGAGGCGGTGAAGTCTCTCAACAGGGATCTCGCGGTTCCGCACTAAACAGCGTAGAGGGTATTCGTAGGGTTTTCTAGCTGCCGTAAGCGCTCGTAAGCTGCGGGACTGCTTAACGGCGTCTCCGTTTCGGACCCGTGAAACCTGCGAGAGGCTAAGTGTGACGTCCGTTCGTTGGTGTGGCCCTTAAGGACGCCAACGTCTGTAAATAGAGATTTTGCTTGCGTAATAAAAAAAAAGATACGCCCAATTGGTACTCTGGAAACGCAAGTGCCTATAAAGGGCTTTTATATTAACAGGCTTGTTTGCCAACCTTAGGGCCTGCGCTGCGTTAAGCGAGAGCATGGCGCGGACGTCCGCTCCGCGTTTTTTTCTGCGCTGCGACAGGAGACCCGCCTCACGCAGCACTGCGCTATGAAATAATATGAAACAAACACGCGGAGCGGACGTCCGCTCGGTGCTCCCGCTTAACGCAGCTCAGGCCTTTATTACCTACATAAAAACTCAACTTTTGTTGGGACATCCTTCCATCCGACTACATCCTTCATTTATGGTCGGGTACTTTATCCACCACTTTATATTGTCTTTTTACTACAAATTCAGCCTAAAACATTTCCAATATCATTTTTCCTGTTTCTCTGTCACATCGTTAAGGCGTGATGTTATGTTACGATGTTACGTTTGCGTATGACGT